GCATACATGTGATAAAATCATATGAATCGTACGGAAATTCAGACAGTGTTAAACGCTTCTAACACATGTGCGTGTACTTATATAAATATAGAAGCAAATAAATCAATAGACAGATATACATAAGGTGATCTGTATACTTTCAATACGAATATCGTTCTAAAAAAGTTTATAGGTATCTATTGACAATATGCCTATGAAATTGAGCATCACTGCATAACACACATGCCGACATACATAGAAACACAGAATCACACTTGAACATGTACATAGATACACAGAAAACACTGTGAATGACCATCCACACGAACAAGAGGCGCACACGCACATGTCAAGACACAACTAGCACGGAAAAGATAAGTAACTAGAAGCACAAAATACACACACACACAGAAGTGAGACACAGACACAGACACACACACACGCACACACAGTAATAGGAATACAGACACAGACACGCACGTACCTCCATGAGACAGTCACGGCAAGCAGCATGGCCACATGGGGGAAGTACAGCGTCCTCTGCTGGATCAAGACAAATGGGGCACTCGGGTGGGGCAGCATCGTTCTTGAGCGCATCCATGGTCTTCTTAACAAACTCAACGGACTACAGCAGGGCAAAGCAAGGCAAGGTAAGGCAAGGTAAGGCATGAGTGGGGTGGTATATTAGATCCTGAAACCGTACATTTTTGTATGGGTGAAGAAACCTGTGCCTGGTAGTGTACAGCAGGCGGGCAACGGTTTGATGGTTGCCTAGCAACGGTTTGATGGTCACTCGGGTAACACCGCTGGAGTGACCGACCATTTGACGATTCCAGGCATCACTTGATGGACTAAGCAGAGCTACACTCGCTCTCTTTGTGTCTGCCTTTCACATTGGCGGCAACCCCAAACGCTCAATCTAGCCTCGCCCTATAGGTGCAACAAATTATGTAATACACTCACATCACCTCGATACTTGCGCAGCGATGGGTGTGGCTTGCACTCGAGCCAGCAAACCCTAATCCCTACACCCTAGAGCCAGCAGAGCTCAAACCCGAAACCCTAAAGCCAGCGACCCAGTAAAACCCTTACACACTGATCTGCGCGTGTATCCATACACAAAAATAGAAAATCCTGAAACCCTAATGATTGTGCTTTGATACTCTCTGTATGACGTCTCGCTCACCAATGGACTGATCGACACAAACACAATCCATTGGGGTCTAACCTAAACCCTAAAAACCCTGCGCATTTGGCATGTACTCAGTCACTGCCTCTGCGAGACGGCAAGAATGATCTAGCACAACAACAGGGGCGCAGAGGATCACATACGTACGTTATGTGCAGACATACATGCTACATGTGTTGCGTGCATGTACGAAGGCATACACACACATCACAAACACCCGCGCGGGTTTACAGCAACGAGCTTAATCGTGGATATCTCGCCACCTCGACACAACACCTTTGAACCCCCTATACACCCTGTTTCCAAACCAGTAACACCGGCAGTACCTGAGTGGTGCCCTTGGAGAACTGTTTGGCAAACTTGTTGAAGTCATTCATGGTGGCCAGGTCCTTCGAGGGAGCACTTAATACTAACAACGGATGATCGCAACACTGCCGCAGCCTACAACCAACAAGTGAAGCAAATGTACCACGGCCACATAAGTGGGGCTGTGCCGAATTGAAGTAATGCCCTGACCCTAGAATGCTAATATATATATATATATATATATATATACATACACATACATACATACATA